ATTACAAGACAATTACCTACAGCTATCAACAAACGCATTGCACTTCTCTCATCGGACGAACAAACATTTAAGGAATCCACACCTATTTACCAGAACGCTCTTACACATAGTAACTTTGATCATGAATTTACGTACACTCAGGATGCACCGCAACGGACACGTAGGAATAGGCATCGCAACATAATTTGGTTCAACCCACCATTTAGTAAGAGCGTTAACACGAACATAGGACGGGATTTCTTAAGTTTAATTGACAAACACTTCCCACTACAGCACAAACTACACAAGATTTTTAACAGAAACACTTTAAAAGTAAGCTACAGTTGCATGAACAACGTTAAGTCTATAATCACCAAACACAACGCACATATAATTAGGAACAGTCAATCACAGAATACGGAAACTGACAACTGTAACTGCGACAACAAAAACACTTGCCCACTACCGAAACAATGCATGACCAGCAACATTATTTACAAAGCAACAGTCACAACGAACAACATGAACGACACTAAACACTACATTGGTATGACAGCGACTACATTTAAGGAACGTTACGCTAACCACACTTCATCTTTTCGTCATAAAAAAGACTCAAACAAAACGGAACTTTCGAAACACATTTGGAAATTAAAAGAAAACAATCAGGATTATACCATCAAATGGTCAATTTTAAAACACGCTATTTCGTACACAGGGGGATCAAAACGCTGCAATTTATGTTTGGAAGGAAAATTTTGCATTTTGAAAGACATAAACAAAGACAATTTACTCAATAAAAGAAGCGAAATTTTCGGCAAATGTCGTCACAAAAATCGGTTTCGAGTAAACAAGGTCGTTAACAAAACCTAATGACCCAAGCATGCATTGTTTCACCTAAGCATTGTTTCGCCTACACGCATTCCGAACATTCTTTCGACAGCATAAAAGAAACCTACAATGTCGAAATTATTCACCACCTGATGATTCCTATACGGATGAAACAGACTGTTGTGGTTTTTTGAGGTAAAACGAAAAACTATATTACGCTCTATCTATATGGTATAGAGCACTGTTTGTGTTTCGTAAACCAAAATCTTAAGATATATATATATATATATATATATATATATATATATATATATATATATATATATATATATATATATATATATATATATATATCGCTCTATGGCCTTTTGGTCATATTGACCGCTCTATAGGGTGAGCCATTGCCGCTAACGCATTGCACACGCTCACCGCTTGCAGTTTGAGCGCTCTTGCATGGTTTTGATATCCCACATTCGCGAGGCATCAAAGGTAACCGTAAAAAGCAGTTACTTTCATCCTGCTCATCAGCACTACACTGATGAAACCCACAAGGTCGAAACGGTACCGTCTGTAGCTCGGCTGCGCCTCGGGTTTTATATCTGATAAGACACGACAACGAGTGTTTTGAATAGCTTAAAATACGACTACAAAAGAATACTACTTAGAATACTAATTAGGGACCTTCGGTTTGATGTCCAATGCTTGTTTGCTAGTTCAACTGAGCTGCGTGGTCAAGTCGGTTTGAGCAAATGACATTTCGGAACTCAGTCTCTAGTTCCTTCCGTATCAGTGTCTTTTATGTTAATGAAATTTTTTATTAGGATTTTAACTAGCCTGCATGAGTTTTGAAATAGCACATTATGAGGTATGGAGCGAAATTCTTTCATTTGAATTGTTCCTTGTGGCATGTTGCTGATTGTTGTGTATACTTTGTATTCTGATTAACTGTACGGTTTAATTTGATCACAATACGAGCGACATAGATTTCCAATTTTTGTTTGATATTCTCTATACATTAGTACAGGATAATGCTGTTGCGGATTTGCCAAAAATTAAAAGAAAAACTAGGTGAATATATATGTTACCCGGAAACGGTCAGTTCTTTGTTGTCTGTGTGGTATTCTGGAACCCTATATAAGATCAGACCTAGATATATTATGTTTAAATTAACGCACAGCTAGACTGCTTCTTTTAGGCTACCACACAAATTGTGTTGATTATTTCATGTACTAATTTATTTAATTTTCTTTCGGGCCTGCAGCAATTGGTTTTCGTTTGACTGTTGAAGATACCGAACCGCTGCATGTCAAGTTTGTGTGTACTAGTGCATGTATATGTATGTGGGCAATATAGGTACTTGATAAAAACGCAACTACGTATGACTTTGTGGAAAGCACCACGTTTGTTTATTCTTAATTTCAATAATTCTTCTACGTTGGTACGAGTCTTCATCTTCGCAAATGATGAAAGACAATAACATTCGATTCAGACGTTCTTTCACACTTCAAAGACTTTGCCTAGAAGCGTACGTGGCATATAAATATTAGTATAATCATGTTTGAATAGGGATGACGGTGCCTATTTGCCAAAGGAATATACTGATGCATCTCATTGGCAGGTGACATGATCCCTTCGGTATTTAAGAAGCCACAATTGCATCTTTAGGTCACCCCTGATGAAGATACTAGACTATAGTGTCGAAACGTTGATTCTTGGTTACAATTTGACTGGGCTTTGTAATCATTTATTTAAGCTAGAGTAGCGAGCGAAACATGATAAAACAAATTAATAAAAGTGTGATTTGAAAGTTATTAAAACGCCACATCAATGATCTTTCATGTCAAAAATTAATTTCAGAAATCGGTCATGCGATAAGGTCATATAATATATATATATATATATATATATATATATATATATATATATATATATATATATATATATATATATATATATATATATATATATATATATATATATATATATATATATATATATATATATATAATTTTTTTT